GTTCTCCTTTTTCCCCCAAATTGGAATCGAAAAAAGAATCAATAAAGAATCGAATCGTTTCATAGAATTGAAAAGGGAATCATGAAAATCTTTTCAATTCCCAACCCTAAAGCTCACTGTGACACACTGCTGCTGGAGGATAACCAGCCCTTTATATGGGACACATACGTAGACGACCTGGTTTCTAAGCATAAACCAGGTTCTATGTGAGCGGGGTGGAGTGAAGCGCCTAAGGAGCATGTGGAAGATATTTACCAATGTTTTCCCCTTTCATCTACAAAGGATATAATTCTCTGCAGTATCCCAGTTCCTTATTTAATAATCTAAAGGCCAATTTATGATTCTGACACATAGCTTCTGCAACTGTCAAATCTGCCTCTGTGTGCGATCACGCCCCCCACGCAGAGGTTCTGCAACCATCATCACGCACCTCAAATAAATCCTGACACATCGGACGGTCACAAACCCATGCAGACGTGGAAGTGCGCAGACATAAATCAGCTGTTATTGGTCCTTGGTATGTCTTTCCAGCTGTCCTTGTGGTCGTCCTTCTCGATTCAGTGTTGGGGTGCGCCATTTTTAAAAACCGAGGAACAACTACAATAGACAGCTATGACGTAAGGTTAATCGAGGAGGTTCGCTTCAACAGAACCTGTTCCTCTTGGATGTCTAGCAACCCTAGATCCATCTCTGTGACTGTGATATCTTGCAGATGCGCCATTGTTCTTTTGAAAGATAAACACTCCGGCAGGCGCCATTGAAGTTCTCGTGACCATCCACTGAAGTTCTTGCAAGTTCTCGAATAGGCTCCCCCTTGCGCTTTGGCAGGAAACAGCTGTGCGTTCCTAGAAATTCCACACCGAAAGTGCAGAAGCAGACCAGCAAAACTGGTTTGCGACCAGATCCAAGCGGCATTTGATGTGTGAGGTTGCAGAAGTATAATCTGCCCTTAAGGAGTAGGCGGGGTTACAGCAATCCTGTATTCAGAATCACAGCTGTATCAGATATCTGAGTTAATTTATCTTTTATGTAATATCTGTAGATCTAGTTAAAGGAGAACACATCATGGCTTTGCTTTTCTTCTGCCACTTTACTACAAAATGAGACCAATCCCAACCTGAAAGGCAACGTAGTGAACCTGTCATCTGCAAACAGCAGTAATTATTCAGCCGGTAGAGCTGCTATGACTAGAGATTAGTAATGGAGCCGGACATACTTGTTCCGGAGGCTGATGTTCTCCGGCTTGAAGACTTCTCTGTACGACGACTTGCTGCCGATGATGACATCCAGCTTGTGCACAGATTCCACCACAGCCCTGGACAGGAAGCGTTAGTAGATAACGAGAAACAGGAGCTTGTTTGCTCTGAAATATCAAAAGCTTTCTGTTTCACTTCTCTGCATCAACAAGACAGCAGATAGTTTAACGTTTGTGAAAAAAACGACCCCCCCACCGACAGATTTCAGTGTAGTTTCCGCTACACCTCCAGATAATCATCAATATTAGTAATAATCAGACAGGTAGAAGACATTATTAGCTAGCGTAGACGGCCTCTTCCTCACCTGTAAAGCCGCTTTATAAGCAGGACTTTCGCCTCAGGCTCGCTGTCCTGACCCGGTCCGCTCATATTAGCGACAGGCCGGCGGTTTGATCAGTCAGCGGAGTCACCGTTTCATTCAGGCCTTCCGACACACAGCTGTTGTGGTTCCTCGGGTTCGTTCCCCGGTAGTGACAACCGTGTTGTTAGCCAGCTAGCGCTAGCTCCCCACTTAGCTTTCACTATACTCCTTTAAAGTCTCTTTTCGTTTCTTGTATCCTTTGGCCAAACCCCCTCCACCCATCCGTCCGGTAAAGGGGGTAGGAAGGGGTAACCGGCGCCTCGCAGTCTTTCTAGTCAACTGAAAACCTCTAACATGCCTTTTGTGTTATTTTCCGTTCCGGCCATCGCTACGAAGGCGGCCATTATTCATATCAGGCATTGACCGCCTGAATCCCGCGATAGTTCAAGCACATACGTATAATGCAACGTCGATAGGGCGTTATTAAGGTCGCCATATTGGTAAGGTCTGAGAATCAAAATGAAGTGGGAACATTTACCTTCTGAACCTGGATTTTCAACCTTTTGTTATGGTCTGGAGGAGACAACATTCTTTAATGTTAGAAACATTACCATACTTGAACATTATGATTTATGGAATCTTACAATTAAATTGCTATCATGCTATTAGTAGCCTGCCATGGATTGTGGGAACACCTGAAAACAGTCTGACAAGGCAAAAAAAATACTGACATGAAACATATTTACAATATAAATTCAATAGATGCAACATTTTAAAGACAATTTATCCAAAATAAGTTGTTTTCCTTCTGCTAGTTCTATTTCACGTTGACAGTCATAAATATTAACCCTAACAAATTGAAAAATGCAAATTTGTCTTTAAAGTTTAACAAAATCTTGCAATTGGTATGAATTCTTTGATGCTTCAGTGTATGCTCGTTCAAAAGATGCAATTATTCAGAGTGTGTTATTGCCTAAATTATGCATTGCCCAAAGTGAACCTTATAATTCAGTCACAATTAAAGGGGTCTAAGTTACAACTTTGCCTATGTATTGTATTGTTTCAGCTAATGAAAAAAAGAGCCAAAGAAAAAAACAAGATCTACACCTAGCTTCGGATTAATCAAGTGCTGCACATTTCAGAAATTATACCATGAGAAAAAAATAAATAAATAAATACTGCACTACAATTTTCTTTTATTTTCAATTCTATGACCCTGCTATGCCAGTTTATTAATATTCCTGTCCAGACATGGGCTTAAAATAATCTGAAATGGGATTGATAAGGTCAAGCTCTGTTTTGATGTCAGTTTTTAAACTAAGTAGAGAAGTCAAACCCAGCATTAGAGGGGGAAATAAAATGGAAAAAAGTAACTGAATTAAAGATTATCTGATTCTGGTGATTATTTTTCTGTGGTGTGGATTATAAACAGAAAAATAATTAGGTGAAAAATACATACAATTTCCAGAATTTTGTGATTTTAAAAATAGATGTTTTAGATAGAAATATTTGTGCAAATTCACAGTGATCCAGGTCATGGCAACCACAGAAGAGATTTCAAATGGCAATGAACCTTCACTGATTCATGAAATACTGTTAACACTATCCAGGAGCCTTTGTCAATTCTGTCGGCTTGAACCAGAGCAACCTGTAGTTGGAACGCCAATGTTTTTTAGCACCTGAAGGACCCCCTCCTATAGGCCTACCAAGTCGGATTCAAATCAAAGTCCCACTCCTCATTTCCTGTGTGACTTTGCTGGTGCCAATCTATTTAATAAGAAACTCTGGAGGTAATTTTCAGTGCAGGCGTTTTGATTAATTCCTAAATAACAAGAATATCCATATGCAGTTGATTCTTCCTCCGTCACAATTTGGCTTCCTGTTGCTTTGCAGTTTCCCCTGTTTGTCAGCAGAGGTCTACAGAGAGTGTGCATTATTGCATCTCTGCATTCCACTGCTAGAGCTGGAGAGACATGATTTCCTAACATAGAATATATCAGTCTGACCAGTTATAATAAACAAATATAGAGAAATAAAAGCTGGAATGAGGCTGTTTGTAGTCCTGCTTTTCTTTCTATTCAAAAACTAACAATAAACAACCTCACAGGCAGGTCAGTTCAGGATAATAATACAGGAAATGAAATAAGAGTTCATTTTCTTGCATTATTTGTTGTAATTAGATATTTCTAGCTAATCAAAAAATCATACCCAGCCTAAAAGAAGAGAGAATCCTTTAGACATCCCCTGCTGCATGAAACTTTTTCCTAAGTGGTGTTTTATCTGTTAGGTTCATTACAAAGTCACATGATGCTAAACTGCCCGGGGACCTGCAGGCAATCAGCTGTGAGATGGTGAGCACCATTACAGGACATTCTGTGCTCTGCTAAATCCTCTCTTCTCTGATCCATCTCGCCCTCTTCATCTTCACTACGTTGGCTGGGGAGAGTGTGAAGAAACAATCTAGTTCCATCTGAATCAAAGCCAGACGATGTATGAATAGGGCAATCGAGGACAGTGATCCAGGTCAGAGCAGGAAAAGACTCACCTTTGAGTTAAAATATATTTAAAAAAACGTATCTAAGGAGTCAAAACAAAAAAAAAATCAGAATCACAGTAAATCGGTATCCTTTAAAAACTTTTTGACGTAGCAAAAAATAGTCCCACAATGTAAATCCCTTTATTGTTCCACAATGGGGAAATTCATTCTGCATTTAACCCTTCCCTTGGGGAGCAGTGGACTGCCATTGTGCGGCGCCCGGTGAGCAGTGTGGGGTTAAGGGTTATGCTCAGGAACCCAAAGTGCAGGCTGTGGGGTACGAACCGAATACTTGAAATCTTCTCAAAGCACAAGCCACTGCTCTAACCACTAGGCCAACACTCCCCCAAGTGGCAAAAAAATAGGCCTAATAGCACTTAGCCTAAAAAAGGACAAGTAAATCAGAAGTAAAACTAAGGAAACCTAAAAATAAACAACCAGGACTTAAATATTTTGATTGACTTGTACATTTTGGGGGGTATCTATATGGAGTGAATTTTGCTCCATTATTGTTGCAGGCAGAACGCAAAAAAGAAAACAGATTTTGTAAAAAGAAATGTGTAAAAATTGTATTCCAGATATAAAACTTTAAAAAATGTCTTATTAAAAATTAAGTTTCAGAGTAACTTTTCTTTGAAGATTTAATTTTTTGAAATTATAAATTTTTGAAACCAAGTCCAGTGGATTGTTTTTAATTTTTTTTGGAATGACTATGACCAGGGTGACTGAGAATCTCCATCTTCATATTAATTTGTGAAAACATTGAAAAAAATGTTTGACATTTGAAATTGTCCGATTCCATTTTTCAAGTGTCAATGTTTCAGATTTTTTGTAAATTTTAAAAATTTTACAGATGTTACAGAAGGTCTTGACTTTCGCTACCTTTACTCTGCGGGCAAATTTGAAACAAATCCGACTACTTTGTCGATATGCAACTAACATCCGACTTTTTCATGGCAGTTAGAATGGTCCAAAGTGTTTCACCACCAATGTGCTTTTTAAAGGATCGCATCAGAAAAGCTTGAAGGAAACAGCGAAACTTGAATTCCCTAAAATTCGCAAAATAGTTCTAGCGCGAAACGGGAAATGGAAACACCTCTTTGAAATCAGCTCTGATGTAGCAAACTTTTACTTACATGACCAATCAGCTGGTTCTGATGTCGCCAGCTTCCTGGATGTTCCTGTTATGAGGGTAAACATGGCTGGAAGCAACATTGCAATAACTGACACGGTAAATTAAAGGAATAGTACATCCAAAACATGATTAGCCTTCATTTTCTACTCACCCCCATGCTGAACAACACTCTGGAGTACTTTTTTGATATCTCAAATGCATCTGGAGATCTGGAGGCTTCTTGCTGTCTGCTGACATTCAAATAATGGAGGTCTATGGTGACCGAGGCAGAAAGGTCCATAAAAGTCCACAAAAAAATGTGTCAATATTCCTCCATATTCCTCCATACTGCTCGTCCAATGTATTCCAAGTGTCCTGAGTGGGTAGCGTCCATAATTTACTCGAAACGAAGTCATTTAGAATATTTTTAGAGCATAAACAGTAGTGTATAGGATTTCCTAAAAGCGCGCAACTGCGAGTTCACAAGTCTACGGAAACCGCGGCAGACCAAACCAGATGAAAGTGCGCATTCAGCTCAGCAAAGAACTCATGCTCTTCCTCAACACTGAAGTCCTCAGACATTTTTCTTTCGTTGTTTTTCTTTGCAAAGGTAAACAGCACATTTCTTCTTCTACGCTTGCATTATCGGCAGAGCAGACGCTGAATGCGCTTTCAGGAAATCCTATACACTACTGTTTATGCTCTAAAAACATTCTAAATTACTTAGTTTCGAGTAAATTCTGGATGCTACCAACTCAGGACACTTGGAATACATTGGACGAGCAGTATGGAGGAATATTGACACGTTTTTTGTGGACTTTTATGGACCTTTCTGTCTCGGGCACCATAGACCTCCATTATTTGAATGTCAGCAGACAGCAAGAAGCCTCCCAGATCTCCAGATGCATTTGAGATATCAAAAAAGTACTCCAGAGTGTTGTTCAGCATGGGGGTGAGTAGAAAATGAAGGCTAATCATGTTTTGGGTGTACTATTCCTTTAAGAATGGCTGCCCCGATTGTAACACCATATTAATTCTTTGCTCCAATACTGGTCTGTGCTAGATTGCAGCCTCAACTTCCTGTTTGCTAAAGCCATGCGTTACGATGTAATGTGGACAATAAGGTAGGATGCTTGATAACAAAAAATTTACTTTTGAATAGTCAAAATTTACTTTGAGACATCTTGATTATAATTCTGGATCTGTGACTCTTTAAATGACGAATCAGGTGACCTCATTTGAGATTTCTCAAAACGCATTTTGATTCACGATAATGTGGTCGAAGATATCTTGAATTTTTATTTTCACTTGTCATTATATACATTAAGATATCTTAAAGTATCATTTTGGATAGTCAAAATAATTATTCCAGGTCAAAACTGTTCTTTTATATCTTAGAAGTAATTACAGGTAAGCAGAAGAAGCTGATTTTATGATAAAATGGCCTGCCATAAACTGGTGGTTTATTCTTCAAACCAAATAGAACGACTGCCAATTCGCTTTTTCTTTTTTTAAAACTTTTAACAGTTTGCTTAAAATTCGAATATTAGTTGAATTGAAACACGGCTAATGTGAATTGTGAAATGCCGTTGGAAATTAATGCAATCCTTAAAACGATCTGAAAAGACAAAAAAAATAAATACATTTTTTTATCTGCGTAAAGAAATCACAAAAAGGAAAAAAATATCATTAGAAAGCAATTATATTTGAAAATAAAATCTGTAAAACAAATTAAAAACTAATATTAAAAAAAGCAAAATCTGAAAAAAAAAAAAAATTGCCCATAAATGTATAATTTTTTTGCAAATCCTTCTATAGGTGCTCTTTGCTGGATTCAGTGGTTTCAAAATTCTTTGGAAAACAACACACCACAAGATAATAATTCAAATATTCTTTTATTTATTAATTTAATTATGTATTTCTATCTCCGCTGTCACCCACCCAAAAAATATAAATTGTGGTTTATTCAAAAAGAAAAGAAAACAAAAACCAATGTCATCTTCTTCAACTGCATCATAGGAATTAATCAACCAAACAAAAAAAAAAATGCAATGATTATTATCATTATTACAATAATAATTCAACTGGCAGAATATCCACATTCATAACAAATCCATATATAACTGCAAAACACTCTTCAACACCACTCTTCCATTAATATACACAAAATCCCCAAAGGTCTGTCCTGGTAAAACAACAATAGAGGAGATCTGAGGGGGACAGGGAGGCGGTGAGGGAGGGGCTATGGCTTGTAAAGGAGGGTGAGAAGAAGTGAGACCAGCAGAGTAAATGGTTAGTAAGAGTATAAGGAGGAGGCACACTTATTTAGTTAGGACCTATACAAAAACAAGCAATCTGAAGTAGTAGCAGTACGCTTTCGTGGACGGATGTACCTGCATAAAAACATCTCCATGAGTGGCAGGATTTAGGGGGGGGGTGGGGCAAAATTTAAGGAAACATATATAAGGGTTGTCAGATTAAATAGAATTAAATACATACCTATGAGTTTATAAAAACACCCTCAAACATATATCATATAAACCAAAAGTGATCCAACTCAGAGCAAAGTTAAGACCTTTATTCAAATAATTGCAAATAAAGATTTCAGGAGGACAAAAAAAAAATAAATAAATAAATAAATACAAGAACCCCCAAAAAGGTGTTGTTGTGACTATAATATATACAAACGATGCCCTCTCACCCAAATCGTATCTAGAAAAGCTTTAAGTTGGTCAGAAAATGAGTGCAAGCTTAAGATTACGTGAGTTAGCTTCTTATTCAAGGATGTAGCTAGAAGTGATAGGCAGGCCTGGCTGATATTCTAGGTCTGCGTGTAAAAAGTGCCTCTGATAGCTGTCTGTGTAACTCGATAAAAACCCTTTCCGTGCCTCGATGTTAAGAGCTTGAGAAGACCTAGTCATACAAAGAGAGAGAAACATTAGAGGAGAAAAATAACTGTACACTCTGCATGTACAAACCATCTATATACACACAAACATACCATATATACACACACATATCTGAGTATATACACACACACTTATACATTTAGGTATGTACAAACACATTCGCTCGTTTCAGCAGAACCTCTAACATATCTCTCTCCGTTTCTCGTGTCAGGCAGAAATGGCAGGGATTTTTTTTTCCAGGAGTCCAGCTGCAGAAATAAACCAGCAATTTGACTGGAAATATGGCCACACCCCAAAAAAAAAAACACCAAGTTGACCCCCCCATGGTGATCAAACGTTCTCATCCAGCAGCTTTTTTTAATCGAATCGTCCATAAATGGAGAGCTCCTCGGCGATTGTTGGGAGAAAAAACACATCGGAGGACGTGTCTTTCTTTGAATCCTTAAATACTAGTACAAAGGAAAAATAAAAATAAAAGCAAAGAGCAGGCCGATCACAGCAACGTGCAAACTGTGGTATGGGGGGGTTGGGGGAGTAGGCAGAACACAAGCTCGTCCCTCAAGGATTTAGAGCAACTTTGTTCCAAACCGGATTGTCTTAATGTGAAAATCGATCGTATAAAATGGATCGCTGTGTTGGATTTTTATCAAGAAATAAACATCTCCTCCATCCAGAAGATGTCTAATGAAGTTTCTTTTGTTCCCCTTAAATACTAGAATAAGATGAATCCGTTATAGAAATATAAATAACATTCTGTCCAGTTTTTCCAAAGTCCTCTTCGAAGCAAGAGTTTTATTCCTCAGCAGTTTTTTTTTTTATATAGGCTGTGCATATTTAGTTTCCTTTAAAATCAAACTGAAGAGAGAGCTAAAACATAAAGTCTGTCAAGAATCCAGGTAGAGATTAAAGAGCGATAAAGTCTGAACAAAGAGGAACCAAAATAAGAGTTAATGGGAGGTTAAATAGGAGTCAGCTTTGAAATAATAAGAGAAGTCAAGCACCTTTGAAATACACTTAAGGTCTCTCTCTCTTAGCGTGAGAACCTCGCTGTCCTTGGCCTGTGTCTTCCTCCGTCCTGCTGACTGATCAGACTGCATAGCTGTTCGTTGCATGCTCGGCAGGCTTACACCAAAAACATGTCCTGCCCGCTTTAAACAGGTGAAATATGGATCCAACACATTTTGAAATTATTGATTTCAATCCTTTTGTCAAATCAGAGAGAGAGAGGGCCCAAGTAAAGTGGAAAAAAAAAAAGAAAGATGAAAGAAATCCCAGCTTTTCCTTACATGGTCCGCTGGGGGTTTGCACCATCCCTAGAGACAAGAGAATAGGACCAACGGCCCAAGTTCTCCCTTTGTCAGCCAATGGCGTCACGAGACAGGGCTCTGGACATTTGGCCATGCCAACCCGTAGACGGCCGATGGTGCATCACCCAATTAGGTTCCACATTGTCCTCCATGAAGCTTTGGGAGTGGCTAGAAAGGGGGGGAGAAAAACAAGGGGAGACAGAGAGAGAGAAGAAACGGGGCAGAGGTGCTTGATCAGGTGCTGTTAAAGCATAGATATGGAGCGGCAGTCTCTCCAAAGCTGGACTCATCCTGTTGTTTTTCTGTTATTAAGTGTGTCTTAGTGCTCCGCTCTGAGGCAACTGCTTGTTTACCTGAGTCACTGAGGTATTTTCACAGCAATGTTAATTCAGGTAATCATTCATCACACAGGTAGATGTCACAATGAAAGGAGAAAGTAGCCCTACGTGTCCCTGTGTGTTAAGACCGCCAGTGTGACTAGGTTTTGGTTTAACATTCACTGTTTTTTGTTTTTCGTATGAATCGAACCTAATTGTTCAGACCTCCTGTCGTATCACATTCACAACAGAACGGGAAGCAGACAGTGAAATAAACAGACACATCTTGCAACACAGAGTTCAAAATGAAAACGAACATGAATGTATGTTAGAAACACGTTTTGTTTCTTTTTCTTTAAGCATTTTACACAAAGGAGACAACATTGTTTCTCAAAAATCATGATTTTCTAATTTTTCTACCTTGAAAAAAACCTCAGAATATTTTTTTTTCTTTTTTGTTCCTATGAAGAAAATCAAAACAAGAACATCTGTAAAGTCGTCTTTACAAATACAAATTTCTTCTGCATTAAATCAACCCTTTGGTTGAGCTTGTCTAAGTACATTCATCTCAGGCACTTAATGGCTAATCTATTACAATCTCTATTGTTATAAATGATCTGTTTATATGGAAATATATTATATGATACATTCTATGGAATAACCATTAAAATCACTTCTGTTTATTTGCACACAAAGAACAGTCTGAGGGGGGAAGCTGTTGTAGAAATTTAAAGTTGTCACTCAGGGCGAATGAATTTTGCATTTGCTGCCACAATAAATGGAAAAAAAAAGTTTATAACTAATTTATGTCGTCTAAACTACTTTTAATGAACCAGAAAATTGAAATAGTGCACTTGTTTTCTCAGAAGAGGGGAAGACAATCACCGTTGCACATAAGAGAAGAACAGGATGCAAACAAAACATACAGAGACATCAAGAACACATGGGGGAGGGGGTCCGGTCAAAGACAGACTGCAGTGGGTTGGGGGGGGGGACAGGAAGGCAGTGGTATGGCAGACACACAGACAGCTCACTTGGTAAAATGGCATCATTTGTTTCTGTTTAGCACCAGTTTATTATGTTTCAGTTCTGAGATTGAGAAGAGAAAAAAAAAGCACGAGCTCAGTCTGAAAACAAGTAGTCCCTTAGATTAAAGAAAGCAAAACAAAAGTTCTCCAAAAAGTCTTTTTTTTCTTTCCTGCAACTCAAACCCCTACGACCCTTCCGGCACATAACTGAACTCTCCTAACAAAGCAGAGGTGGAGGCCCATCAGTACATCTGTAGTTAAACCCTGTTGAAAAACTCTCAAAGGCACTAGGAAAACCAACACCACGTCTCTAGAAGACTGCAGCCTGGCGTGTTCGGGGTATTAATACGCCTTCAGTACCTTGCAAACCTGTTCATACTCATTGCACCTTTTTTAAGAAATATTTTTTCATGTTACAACCACAAAACACAGTGTATGGCATTGGGATTTTATGTGATTGACCGACACAAAGTAGAGCTGAAATGTAACTCTGAACGATCGAGGCATAAAGTGCCTTTTCAAAGATGACCTCCAAAAGATCAATTAGGTAGCTTTATAAAAACACCCAATTAGTAGAATCCACCCATCTGTAATTTAATCAAGGCGTTCTCCAAGGTCTTCAGAGGACAGCGTCATGGAGAGCGGGGAACACGACGGTCAGAGAGAAAGTCGTTGAAAAATCAAGATTTTTTAAAATGTCTCCTAAGATTTGGAAGATCTCACAGACGAACATTTATTCCATCTTCAAAGCAGAGAAAGAGGAAGGAAGATGTGAAAGTCCAGCTAAACCATGAGCCTGCAATCTTTTATATCCAAGTCCAGCTAAATAAAGTCGTTCAGATCCTCTAATATGACAGGACCTTTTATTAAATCACTAATTATTAGTTTTGTTTAAATAAATGCTGCAGGGAATCTGTTGCCATGTTAAACAACCAGTACTCTAGTTTTATTTTAAGGGTTTTAAAACGAGAAATCATGAAATATTTCATAAAAAGGAAGAGTGGCTCATTTCCAAGTTAAGCACAAGAAAAATTGAGCTAATAATATACTTCTGGTACTTTTATTATAAGTGTATTTTGGAAATTAAATTCAAATTAATAATTTTTAGACCCTTTTTAAAGCCACAGTAGGGAGTCGTTTGCAGCTTCCAAGCTGCAGGTTGCAGACAGAACATGAAATGTATGTAGTTTTTTCTTAAAATAAGTGTGTTTTTACTTGAAATTAGGAGGTAAGTGACACTTTGCCAATGGAACAAGACAATGTACCTTTAAAATAAGAAAAAAAAATAGTATTGTCCTATTTCAAGTGCACATTATCTTATTCCATCCAACTTCTTCCGCTTATCTGGGGTCGGGTCACGGGGGTAGCAGCTTCAGTAGGGAGGCCCAGACGTCCCTCTCCCCAGCCACTTGGTCCAGCTCCTCCAGGGGAATCCCAGGGCGCTCCCAGGCCAGCCGAGAAACATAGTCCCTCCAGCGTGTCCTGGTTCTCCCCCTGGGCCTCCACCCGTTGGGACGTGCCTGGAACACCTCACCAGGGAGACGTCCAGGAGGCATCCTAACCAGATGCCCGAGCCACCTCAACCGGCTCCTCTCGATGTGGAGGAGCAGCGGCTCTACTCAGTCCTCTTAGGATGACTGAGCTCCTCACCCTATCTCTAAGGGAAAGCCCAGACACACTACGGAGAAAATGCATTTCAGCCACTTGTATCAGGGATCTCGGTCTTTCGGTCATGACCCATGCCACCTTATCGTGGTGGGGGGGTTCGAGTGTCCCAATGACCTTAGGAGCTATGCTGTCTGGGGGCTTTATGCCCCCTAGCAGGGTCACCGAAGGCAGACAGGTCCTAGGTAAGGGGCCAGACAAAGAGCAGCCCAAAGACCCCTTATGACGAGTAAAATAAATGGATGTAGTGTTCCCTCGCCTGGATGCGGATCACCGGGGCCCCACTCTGGAGCCAGGCCTGGAGGTGGGGCACGCTGGTGAGCGCCTGGTGGCCGGGGTTTTACCCACACTGCAAAGACGATCTAGAAATAAGTAAAAATTTCTTAAATTAAGTGTATTCACCCTTAATTTGAGCAGGTAAATGAGATAGTTTGCCAATGGAATGAGTATTTTTACTCCTAAAATAAGATAATTAGATAATATGCACTTGAAATAAGACAATGCAATTGTGTTTTCTTATTTTAAGTGTATATTGTCTTGTTCCATTGGCAACATGTCTCTTTTACCTCCTCAATTCAAGAACAAATGCACTTATTTTAAGAAAAAATTAGTTATCTAGATTCAGATTTTTTGCAGTGCATAGAGCCCGGTCGGGCACAGCCCGAAGAGGAAATATGGGTCCCCCTTCCTATGGGCTCACCACTTGTAGGAGGGGCCAAAAGGGTCGGGTACGTTGTGTGACGGGTGGCAGTCGAGGGCGGGGACCTTGGCGTTCTGATCCTCGGCTGAAGGAGCTGACATTATCTTATTATCTTATTTTAAGTGTAAAAAGTACTAATTCCATTGTCAGATCATCTTATTTACCTGCTCAAATTAACTTGTTGCAGGAAAACAGAAAGAAATATCTAAAAACTCGTCAATATCAAAGCAGTTTTAGACAAACTCATACTGCTGTAGATCTATGGTTGTTTCTACTGAGCGATAACTCAGAAACTTAATTATAAATGCATTTTTATAATTTAGAAATTCTGTATGATCTGGTTGAACTGTAAAGTGCGTTGAGATGACTTGTGTTGTGAATTGGCGCTATAGAAATAAACTGAATTGAATTGAATCAATGAAGCGTGTACAGCTTTGTGTCGGCCATTCAGAACTCCTGTAAAATGTTGTTGTAACACGATTAAAATGAGAAAAAACTCAATGGGTATAAATCCCTTCAAAAGGCACCGCTGGTCCATGGGATTCGTAGTGGTTTACAGCGTACTGCTTTCTTATTAAAGGCTACTCCGAAGTCTTTGGGGTGCAATGTTGAGTGCTTGATCCTTAATGTGAAGGAGTCAAAGAGAGGCAATGAAATCAAAGAGCAGGTTGTTATTATCTTTTTTTTTTTTAAGACGTATCGTTTTCTTGTCCTGCAAGATTGATACTATCTGAAGCTGGATGGGAGCATTAAGTCTATTGAAGAGCCCTTTGTGTTGATGTGTTAAACACTATACAGAGTAATTATTAGTTCTCTCCCTCACAGTGTTCTTCTCTCTCTTGCCCGGGTCATATTGTTTTGAAAGAATATGAGTTATTTTCTTTGAAATGGAAACAAAACGGGATGGGGGGACATTTTTTTTCTTTCCTTGGTGCCATCTCTCTCTGATTCGGCTCTTCGCCGTTGTGTTTGACCTACTCCCCCCTTTAATCTGCCATTGTTGTAGTTGCCGTTGCTGTGGTCCCGGTTGCCTGTGAAGCTGTCTTTAGACTGCCACGGAGCTCTTCATTCTGACTAGGTTGCGATTGAGGAGTGGGTGAGGAGGGAAGATCTACAATTTGGGGTAGGACTCCATTGTGGGGCGATGTGTTGGAGAAAATGCCAGAGGAAGAGATTCTGGGGCCTTGATCGTTGGTTAGCGCTCCTCCTTGTTTTCCTCCTCCTCCCCCTCCACCTTCAGATTTCACACCGGGGTCTGCTGAACCCAGGGAGGAAAGCTGGTCCTCCTAGCGAGATAGAGAGAGAGGGGAAGGGAAAGAGGAGTGGGAGCAGGGAGAAATGGTCGTAGGAGAAATGCCATTCAATGAACGATGGGAGGGATGATGAGTTATAATAAGGATATGTCCAATTAAGTCATGTTGAGAAAATAATATCAGGAACCGGGGGGGAGGAAAAAAG